CCTCCGCGGGGGGGACTGGCTCCTCCGATGGTAACGGCTCCATCATATTATAAGGGTTTCTGTGTCTCCACTGCCCGATTTTGCTTGGCCACGGGAGGGACCTGGGGCTGGCTGTCCCCGGGGGGGGGTGGCATGGGTCCTCGCTGTGTCACGGGGCTGCCCCGGTGTGCTGTCACACTGTTAGCCAGCCCGTGCCTGAGCGTTTGGCTTCCGACGTGCTTTTTTTTACTAACACCAAATCCCCGTTGTCTCCCAGAAAGTCCCCTTCGAGCTGCCCCTGCAGGCAGGACTCGTCCCTCGGATGCTCATAACCATCACGGGGACCGTCAACCCCAACCCAAACAGGTACCGGGGGCGTCCAGCACCGAGGGCGGGGGGGGGTTTTCCGTGGGGCGCTACTGGATGGAGCGGGGGGGGCTGGAATTTGCTTTCTGTTCCTGAGTAACACCTGCCTGGTGTAAAATCAAATATTACACCAAATAAATGTGTAAATGCCCTGTCATTGTCCAACGGGGTCTGTGGGGTTTTTTTTCTGCCCTCTTGCTGCTACTTTTGGCAAGCCCTGTAACAGAGTCCAGGGCTTTCGTAGAAAAAGCAGTAAATCCGTTATTGTCTTTGCAGGTTTTCACTGGATTTCAAGAAAGGGAATGACGTTGCCTTCCACTTTAATCCCCGCTTTAAGGAAGACAACAGGAAAGTCATCGTCTGTAATTCAATGTTCCTGAATAACTGGGGAAAGGAGGAGAGGACAGCTCTTAAGTTTCCATTTGAAGCTGGAAAACCCTTCAAGGTACCAAAAAAACCCACCCCAACTCAGTCTTAATGTGCCAACAGCACCTGCACCGCGTGCTGGGAGGGTTTGGTCAGGGCCGTGTAACAAGACTCACTGTAAGGACCTTGGTGCTTTTGCAGGAGAATCGGCTCCCAGAGGTGCTTTTTGGGGCAGTCGCCCCGTGTGCTTCCCTGGCTGTCCAGCACGGCAGGTCTACGGCACCTTCCCTGCACTTCTCACCCCCCTCCGGCAGGTCCAGGTGCCCAGGGTAGAACTTCTCCCCACTTCCATTATTCCCATTTATTATTAAATCCTCTGTATTGACACCGTCGTTCTGCAGCAGTTGTCAGGCAGGTTTCTATAAAGCATTTCCCCCGTTAGCAGCCAAGCTCTCTTCACGAGCTTTTTCTCCTGCAAAATGGGTTCGCCTTTGGTGAGAACTCAGCTCTTGCTGTGTGAACCGTACAGTACTGCTTCTTGAAAATACCATCGTAGTCACGAGGAGACAGAGACTGCGGGCTAAAACATGAAGGAGGAAGAGTACAGCAGGGCTTTGGAGAAGGCAAAGGTCACCAGTGTTTTTGCAGCCGAGAATTGCTGCACCGGCTCGTCCACTGGACGGTCTGGACTCAGCTGGCAGCAGCCTTTAGCCAGTGCCAGCCTGCTCGAGTCTGTGGCTTAAAACTTCTTCCTAGAACAAATCTGATGGTCATCTTTCGGGGTTTTTATTTCAGCTCCAGATCCTTTGCGAGGTGGATCACTTCAAGGTAGCGGTCAACGATGCTCACTTGCTGCAGTACAACTTCCGCGAGAAGCAGCTGAACGAGATCACCAAACTCTGCATTGCTGGGGACATCACCCTCACCAGCGTTATGCCAACCATGATATAACTACGGTGGTGTAACTGTAACGCAAACTTAGTGCTCTTAATATGGCTGTAACAGAAGTGCCTTCTTACATGAATACCTTGAGGTAATAAAACACTTTCACAAGTAAAATTTGTTTTCAGTAAGATTTCAAAAGCCACGACATCCTCCAGCAAGCCAAGTTCAAATGTGGAAGTATCTGAATTCTTGCTGTAGAGACAGAGAATCTCTTCGCCAAAGCATGACGACTAGGAGCCCTTTGATTTGTATGGAGAGGAGTACTTGGCAAAGCAGCCTGTGACATGCTGCCACTGGTCCTGTGAACTAGAGCAGCAATTTTCAACCCCATCTTCTCCAAGTACCAGACAGCAGTCAGTAACTTGGTATTTTTAACCTCAGTTGCTCTGCTAGGTAGAGCGGTTATTCCTTTTTCACTAAAGGAATCAAAATAGTGCAGCAAAAGACATAAGTTCCCCGCCCCAGGGGAGGAGGAGTTGCACGATCGGGCTATGACTGGGTTGTGCGTAATTCACAGGAGTGTCGCCTCACTGAAGTTATCCACTAGGAAACAGTGGAAAACAGGGAATGCTTGAGACCCTCTAAGCCTGACCAGAATGAGGTATTTCAAGAGGGGAGTCAGAGCTGGAGGAAGCAAAACCTCTTCCCTAGACCATGGCTAGAAAAGTTACCCCCCTCCTTCGTTTCAAAGGCCCGGTCTGCCCATTTGGTGGCCCAAATCAGCCCGTCCTGAAGGCGCTTCCCTCCCAAGGGAGATGGAATTTGTACAGGCGTTATGTACTCCATGGAACAAGTCACGAGCTTTGTGCTTCTTTCCCCTCATCACTTCTGTGTGAGTCAAGACCGGTTTCAAGGGTGGGGAGGTTTATTGGCAAGTTTACCTCGTGAGTCAGGCTGGTAACAAAAATAAAAAAAATATGTTCCCTTCACTGTGAGTCATTCTCCCGGTCTTGTCTGCAAAACAAGAACAGCGCAATAGCCACTGCTGACGTTTTCAAGGATCTCTTTGACATGTCTCATACTCTTTTACAAGTCACTTCATTTATACTTGGAGATGCCGAGTTACAAGCAGCGCAGCGTTGAAATTTCCAGCAGATGCAGTAGCCGAGACCAGCACACTGCTAACATCGGCTTAAGTGTATACATCAGACGTCAGAAATCCCTCGTTACCACTGTTCATTGCACAGTGTTGATGACTGAACAGAGCAGGCAAGTCATTAAGAGCTATCTGTTTGAAACTCTCCCTGTAACTGGAGTTCAGTGATGAAGAAAGTTGATTCCAGCACAGTAACAGCAAGTCACATTAGCTTCCTCTATTTATTTCCGTGTAATCAGCACACAGCTTCCAGGTTAAAACTTAAGCCAGACAAGCTCCCCCAGCTGTAGCGGCCGTGCTTTCTGCTGAGGGATTTGAATTACCTTGGTTTGGTTTAAAATAAAGGCTAGTGGAAGAACGTGTGTATTACACTAAGGTCACCATTACAAGAAGAAGCCCAGTCAGGTATTTGTTAAAAATATAGTAACTGGCAGTACTCTAATGCTACTACTCAAATATAGAGTATATATAACTGGCATGCTCCTTATGCATAAATATATTACAGTCCAGATAAGGGAATGCGTAAGGAACAAGATGCGAGAAGAGGCTGAGGTTCACGTGTCAAGGGTTCAGAGAAAGAGGTTACGAGATTTTCACATGAAAAAGCAAAGAGAGAATAGGGGTTGCCTTGAAGGTACTTAAGATATTCAGTAGAGAACTGTGTCCTTAAAGGAAATAATAATCAATGCCTATTTTAATACACTGCCAGGAAAAGATATTATCAGACTTCGAAATCCTTGTTCTGAGATCGTTTCTACTATTACAAAGCAAGTGGTTGTTAAACACCAGGAAGACTCCCACAGGAAAGAATTACACGCATCAAACCCTGCCACATCTTGCTGATCAGGCAGAGTTGTTAAGGCACAGAACGCTGGAGCCTAAGGGTGCAACAGTACCCTCACAACGGCGATCGAGTATGAAACAGTGCTTCGGGGGAGGCAACAGGCTGAGTCTTACCCCCAGAAGGTGCCCTCGCATCAGAAATAGGGCACAGGTACAGCTAGTCTGATAGGCATCTTCTAGTAATAATTCATGAGTTAAGTAAAGTCAGGACAGAAAAGCTTAAAGCTGAAGAGTTCCACAACTCGAAGTAGACAGGAAATACATGAAATCATACAAAAATAAAAGTATTTCAGGTTATAGTCAGAACGTGCAATCATTGGGTACAGCAGGTACAACCAGCAAACACCCCCCTACTCATGTACAGCAGGACTTACAGTGCACGATGACTGCACCACAGAACGTTACAAAATATTTTAGTAAGTTCCACTACAAAATACTACAGGTATTCACTCACTCAGAACACAGTTCAAGGGTAGCAGACTGTATTCCAGATATCCTCTGTGGGTTTTTTTGTTACTATAATTTACACATTTTGAATTTCAAGTCGCTCTTCATTTTTCCCCAGAGGGAGAAAGGGGAGAAAATACAATAAGGTCACTGAATGCTTCAGCTGCTGCAAATTTCTGGGCTTTGCTCTTGACCGGAGTGAAGGGAAGCTCAGCATCCAGCATGGGCTGTGGGAGAAATCAGAGTGAAACATCTGAGGAATAATTATCTGCTCTGCAAAACACCACTGCAGCGACACACGAAATAAGCTAATAGCAAGTTCCCCTTTCTCTAATGCCATCTATGTAAACACCAGACCAACCCTAATTACCGGCAGGCATCTGCTCATGTAGGTCAGGTGCCTGCCTACTTGAGAGGCCACTTAAACATCGTGGGACAAAAACTAGCAGAAAATGCTTCTGACAAGGGAACAGAAGCATGCAATGCTCGTGCCTCTCACTCAGTACTGTGGACACATCGCAGCTTTAGAATAAGCTAAGCACGGATCCGTCAGGCAGATCTGAAACCTGCAGCGGTGCAGGTACTACGTATAGTAGTACTACTTTAGTACGAAGTATACTAAAATGTGCTTGCTTATATACGATACCGTTTCAAGGCAACAGCCACCGTTCAAAATCGTGTACCACTGTAAGTACCATGACTGTCCCAAGAGAAATTTTGCAAGCTTATTTCCAGACATAAAACAAGAAGTGAATATGTGGTCCATTTAAAGCACTAATCCATATTTTAAAGAGGACTTTCCACACGAGACCAAGGAAACCGTACACCCAAATTCTTGTAACGATTTGGAAGTTTTCACACACCTGCTTCTCCCTGTTGAATCTTACTTCCAGCTCTGAAAGATAAAGCTATAAGAAAGAAAGGGAAGGGACAGACCTGGAAAACTCCAAGAAGAAAGTGGAAGGGAAAGGCCAGGCCATTCATTACGTTAGTAAATATTTACAAGGAAATTCATAAGAAATATAATTTAAAGGATCAATCTGGTAAGAATCATTCTTCTGTTACGAATGTCTTGACTCATCCTACACTCATCATGTGCAATAAGGAGTAAGAGCGTGAGCCCGAGCAGGGAGACAGGAATTGTGGCTTGTATTTAGAGTAAGTTATATGAATTGGCTTGATAACATCTTACAGAGTTTAATTTACTTCGTGCAGTAACTGATTCTGTAGGAAAGGTTAACAGTACTGTAACATGCAGATTGTCTTAGTCAAATAAACCTGAAGGTCAACTTACCATATCAAAAGGATTTCTGCTCTCAATGGGCGTCAAATCACTACATGAAACATCTGAAAAATAAGAATTTTTATTTTTTTTTTAAAGTTAGTCTGACGCTGCCAAAGCTGGAAAAACAGTATTGTTTTCTGCATTTACTGGGAAAAAAAAAACCAAGCCCCTAAACTGTCTGTATCTACTTCTACTTCAAGCCTTGTTTATTAGCTTTCTCCTTCACATATCACATGGAAACTACACAGAAAAATCTGAGGGGCACTGTTTGCTCATGCGCAACGCATGTGTAAGTCATACTAGCTAAAAGAGGTTTTGCTAACAGCATACATAGATTAACCAAGCTACGACGACAGTGATTTCAAAGAGTAATATTTAGATTATCATTAAACTTTAGAATAATCATAAGGCCCCAGCAATACCGCACAAACTATACTAAGCAGCGTTAAGATACGCACCTGTCTGATGTATTTTTGGTTCTCCAGACTGAGAAAAGTTAGCCTCTGTGCAGGTCTCCTTCTCCGGACTGCACATGACAATGTCTTGTCCTTGTTGATCTGCAGCAGATAGTTCCATCTCTTCCATGCCATCCACTACTTTTAATTCACTGCTAGAATTTTCCAGCACCTGAAAAGGGGGAATTTTAACTGTTCCTTGCCCTCTGAGAGGCTGTCTGCAGTAGCTCTATTGCTTCCCAGAGAGCCAAAAGAAAAGCATCAGTGAAATAAGACGGACATGAGGCAGCACCTATGGCACTATGAAGCTTTCTTATTTTCTGTTTTGTCTGCAATAAAAGGAAGTTTGTCAGCTTTTGATGCAGAAAGCACAAAGGTGAAAAGGTAGCCAGGACATTCAAGGGATGTGAGTTTACAGAAACCAGCATGTCCCTGTTATGTTGAACCAAGTCCATACATCTAATCTGCAGTTTTTATAGACAATTCAGGAGAGACAGGGTTTTAACTCCAGACACTGTAGGAAGGACAGGCAGGACAAGGCTCACAGCTTAACACTGTGATCCGTTTCACATTAACTATTTCCCAAACACCCTTGTAAGCTTGATAATCTCTTAGACTACAAAGGAAGTTCTTCCACATGAAAGAAGATTTTGAACTTGAAGTGCCAAAAACATTCTGAGGATGTTCTCTAATGAGACTTTACCTCAAGAAAAACCTATCAGCAATACTGAAAGTTAAAGGTGACCACAGTTTTCCCCAGAGAGCGACATCACCAACAAGCAATTTCTCATTTGACAGGGAAAGGAGGAAGTAAAAGGCATAAGAACAAATTAGTAACCAAGATTATTATTTTTTTTTAATATATATTATATATTCGGGGAGGTGGGGGAGGAAATTACTGCTGTAGTCAT